TCAACCTCAGCTCTACACTTTTGGTCGAAAATGTGCAGCAATTCCATTGGACAATGCGGGTCTGTTCCGTGGTGGCCTGTCCTGTACTGCTATGGGAGTTACTTCCCATGTCGCAGCAACGCCAGCTCCTTCTTGATCGCTCCGATGGCCTCGAAGATCATCTTGAAGCCGATGTGTACGTCGTTCTTGAGTTTATTCATCTCTTTCTCGGCGTCGAAGTCTGATGCCTGCTGGCTTGGCTGTTGTCATTGGGTAGATTTCGCCCATTCCGGTATCCATGTAGGAAGCTCGTCTTGATCGTTTTTCCCCGATGCCTTGGGTCGCTTCGTGATGGACTTGGCAGCTGCAGCGTAACTCTCCTTATTTTGCGCCGGAGGTTTGGGTGTCATCTTCTTTTTGTCGGGAATTCTTCTTTTTGGACAGTCGTTACTGGTGGCCGGATGTAGGCCGTCGCAGTTACGACATTTTGGTTCTCGGTCGCACTCGCCCATTCCTTCGTCGTGCACGTTCCCGCACTGACCGCACCTTCGTTCCTTGCGAGGGCAGACATCCGCCTTATGCCCGAGCTCGTGGCAGCTAAAGCACACGATCGGGCGCGGGCGGTATTCTTTCACGCTCAAGATTGCTTGGCAGAAGACGACCTTCTTGGGCAGTTCGTTACCTTCGAAGGTAACTAACACCGCACTTGTGCCTTTACCCATAAGTCGGGCAGCGATAATCCTTGCCTTGTCGCATTTCATGTCTGCGAGCAGCGTCTCTGGTGACTCTTCGCTGTTGTCTCCCGGGGGGTGTATGACACCGCGGATCTGGTTCTTCTCCATCGCTCTGTAGGGGCAAACTGTATACTGCTTGCCGTTTTTCTCTATTGCCTTAAGCCGTAGCAGCTTTTCTCCCGTGCCTTCTTCTTGCGTAGTGAGCGTAATAGTGTTGGTCTTTGTCTGATACTGGATTTTGAAATCATCTTGGCTTTCGATTCCTGCCGTTTCCGCAGCCTGCCTGATGTCCCTGGCTCTGAAGCCATTTACTGCCTCCTTACATACCGGCTTAAGGACAATGGCCCTGGTAGTTTTACTCTCAGACCTCTCATCGATGGACATAGCAGCGGCTTTCTTCTCGGGTTCCTCGATTGACGTCAGCGAGCGTTTACGGCGGCGCCTGTTCTGGACTAGTGTCCAGGAGTTGTCCTCGATATTTTCCGCCAAAAGGGTGGCTTCTGTCCTGTTAGGTTTAGCATTCTGGCTCTTTAGCGGGGTCTTTGTCAATTGTGCTGCTTGAGCAATCGTGGGATATTCTTTTCCAAGGCATAAGCTCACCTTTTCTGCTGCGGCTGGTTGCGCGCCTTTTCCTTGCTGCGTGGTAGCGAGGTAGGTCAAGAAGCTTACAAAGAGCCTTCCGATATCTTCCCTCGCAACACCAAATTCGTTCAATTTGCCGAGGGTGTTCAGGTCCAATACAATTTGAAGGCCTTCCTTCGATGGGCCCACCGTGGCCGCGGTTGTCCCTGTAGCAGCAGCCTGAGTTTCCGTGTCTCGCATTCCAGACGTTAGGTTTAGCGAGGTGTCCATAGTCTCGGGTTCCATATTCACCAAACTGGTCCCTCCCGGATCCAAAATCGACGGTCGGAGGGTGGCGGGGGGTCGCCCTTGATCCATGGGGCCCTTTTCCGGGGCGCGAGTGCCTTTTAAACTCGGAGTTATTGTTATGTTCGTGTGTTTAGTACATCCGCATGGCGGTGCCAGCGGCGAGCAGTCTATAGCAACCGGGGATGCATGCGCCATCACGTTCTGCGCTACTGCGCGTGTGGAACATCAAGTCGGAAACAGACCGTTGTTGGAGCTAGTCTGGCCCGCAATAAATGTTGACGCCACGGAGTGTTTGTTTCCGCGAACCCGACGTAACAGTGGCGACGAAGACGGGATTCCTGCAGGACGGCGGCACTGCGGCCGCCAAGGAAAGCTAACTCCGTTGCCCGGCCGCTCAGCATGGCCACCGCTCCCACCGAGGCCTACATCGAGGCTTTCGACTTCTCCCGACCTGAGGATTGGGAGGATTACGCACAGCGGTTCGAATTCTTCCTGGATGCGCAAGGTATCACAGATGCCGGTAAGGAGCGGGCGACGTTCCTCAGCCGTTGCGGCTCCGCTACGTTCCAGTTGGCCAAAGCGCTCGTGGCGCCGGCCCCGCTCGGGGATACGCCCCTCGAAACAATCCTCACCGCGCTGAGGGAGCACCTGGCCCCGAAGCCTCCAGAGCTTGCGAGGCGACACGAGTTCCATCGCCGTGACCAGGCACAGGGAGAGTCTGCGGCGGCCTACCTCGCTGCCCTTCGTACCACAGCGCACCATTGCCAGTTCACCGCCCTCGACACTGCGCTCCGGGATCGTTTTGTGTTCGGGTTGCGGAGCGACAAAGTGAAGCAACGACTCTTAGCTAAAAAAGAAGTGACCCTCGCCAGTGCTGTCGAGGAAGCAATCGCTGCCGAGGTCATCGACCGGGAAGCCTGCCGCGACTCCCGCCCAAGCGTAAGCGCACCACGCATCGAGCCCGTGCACCAGGGGACAAGCGCGGGTATCGACAACGAGCAAGACGCCGCCGAGGACGTCTTGCGCCTAAGGATAGACCAGCGGAGGGACCCGGAAGGAACGGGAGGCGCCTTGTGTGCTGGCTGCGGAGGCTCCCACGAACGGCGGCTGTGCCGTTTCCGGGATGCCCAGTGCAGGGGCTGAGGAAAAACAGGTCATATACTTCGAGTCTGCCGGTCCCGAAGGCCACGGGACTACCGCCAGAATTCTGAGACGGACTGCAAGACGCCTCACGTCAGGGCCACGACTCGCACAAACATTGCCTACTGCGACGATCAAACCGTGACTGCTATCCACGATGTGCCCGCGCCGGCCCTGAGGAAGATACATGTGGAGGTCATGCTCGAGGGCAAGCCATGCCAAATGGAGGTGGATTCTGGGTCAACTTTTTCGCTCATTTCCGAGGCCACAGCCAGGCGGATCTTCCCAAATGGCTGCTTGCCATCCCTGAAACCACTGGATATCACGATGAAGGACTATCAGGCCAACCGCATCGCAGTGCATGGCTATGGCATGTTCAGGGTGAAATTCAAGGACTTTGACGGCCTATTGCGTCTCGTCATCGTCAAGGGTGAGCGTCAGAGCCTCCTGGGGCTGGACTGATTCCCAGCCCTGGGCATCAACATCGTAGGAGTGCAGCACATCACCCAGCCATCTCATGCGATCAGTAACATCCTTAAGGAATTTGGGTCCGTGTTTGATGGAGCGTTGGGATGCTACAAAGGACCACCTGTGCAGTTTTCACTCAATCCTGAGGTCACGCCCGTGCGGTTGAAGGCAAGAAGAGTACCCTTTGCTCTTCGGCCAAAAATCGATGCCGAGCTAGACAAGCTCATACAACAAGGGGTGCTGGAGCCTGTGGATCAAGCTAAATGGGAAACACCTATTGTCACGCCCTTGAAGGCAAATCGGGATGTGCGTATCTGTGCAGACTACAAGTGCACGATTAATAGGGCATTGCAACAACATGCATACCCAGCGCCAGTCGTGAGCCATCTCCTGGCAGCCCTTGGAGGTGCCACAATCTTTGCAAAGCTTGATTTGACACAGGCATATCAGCAGCTGCCAGTGACCGAAGAAGCAGCAGAGGCCCAGACCATCGTAACTCATCGGGGAGCTTTCCGCGTCCGCAGGCTTCAGTTTGAGGTCTGTGTCGCACCCGGCATCTTCCAAAGTCTCACGGAAAACCTCCTGAGGTGACTACCGGGTGTCATCGCTTATTTTGATGACGTGATTATAGCTGGAGCCTCACAGGAAGAATTGCTCGTTCGCCTGCGTGACGTTCTACGGCGGTTTCAAGCCGTAGGGCTCAAGGTCAAGAAAGAAAAATGCCAACTCGGTGTGACACAAGTAGACTTTTTAGGGTTTCGAGTTGACGCTGAGGGAATACATCCGACACCGGGAAAGACCGAGGCCACCATGAATGCCCCATGCCCAGCAAACAAGACTGAACTACAGGCATTCCTGGGACTCCTCAACTTCTACCATGCTTTCCTACCCCACAAGGCAACCATTGCAGAACCACTGCACCGTCTATTGAACAAGAATGCTAAGTGGGCCTGAGGCCGAACACAACAGAGAGCCTTTGATGCGATGAAAGAGCTCTTGGCATCCAACCAAGTCTTAACACACTTTGATGAAAAGAAACCCTTGATCCTGGCTTGTGATGCCTCCCCATACGGAATAGGAGCTGTGCTGAGTCACCACATGCCTGATGGGAAAGAAGCACCTCTCGCATTCTATTCCAGGACACTGTCTACCACCGATCGCAATTATGCTCAGATTGATAAGGAGGCGCTTGCAGTGGTCGCAGGTGTAAAAAAAGTTTCATGACTACTTATGGGGCCGCCAATATCAGATCCACACGGACCACAAGCCACTTCTGGGGCTGTTCACCCCAGACCGTCAGACACCGCAGATGTTGTCACCACGGATGCTGCGCTGGTCGATATTTCTAAATGGGTACCAGTACTCTCTCCTCTATCGGCCTGGGAAGCGGCTGGGCCACGCAGACAGCCTCAGCAGAATTCCCTTAATGCAACAGCACCAGGACGACCCGGCCCCAGCAGAGATCATTATGCTGCTGGACATGCTCCCAGAACCTCCACTCCAAGCCGCTGACATCGCCACACAGTCTGCAAGGGACCGTACCATGTCTCGTGTACTCAACTGGGTGGTGTGGAAGGGGTGGCCACCAAGGCACAGCATCACTTCTGAGTTCACACCATTCGTGTCAAGGCAACATGAGCTGTCTGCCCACAAAGGTTGTTTACTGTGGGGTGACCGTGTGGTGATACCGCTGAAGCTACGGTCCCGGATTCTCGAAGCCTTGCACGCCGGACATCCAGGAATTGTTCGGATGAAGGCACTTGCCCGCAGCTATGTATGGTGGCCAGGAATAGATGCGGCTATCGAGGAATGGTGCGACGATGTTCTCCCTGCCAGGAAACACGGCCAGAGATGCCCCGAGCACCAGTCCATCCATGGGAGACGACCCGGGCGCCGTGGTGTCGCCTGCACATTGATTTCGCTGGGCCGTTCCAAGGAAAGACATTCCTGATCATAGTGGACTCCTATTCAAAGTGGCTGGAGGTCATCGCAGTGTCATCCATGACGTCGCTCACCGTGATCAATGCCTTAAGGAGGCTGTTCGCAACACATGGTCTTCCAGACACAGTAGTGTCGGACAATGGGCCTCAATTTACGTCCGCCGAGTTCCGGGTAGGGTGCCTAGTTCCGGGAGTTTCTTGAGGCCAACCTGATCCGCCATGTGACATCTGCACCTTTTCATCCATCTACAAATGACCAGGCTGAAAGGATGGTGCGAACCACCAAGGAGGCTCTGTCGTGCATTGTGCAGGGAGATTGGTCACGGCGACTGGCAGATTTCTTGTACAGCAGCATGTAACTCCACACTCAAGCACGGGGCGATCACCGGCCGAACTGTTAATGGGCCGCCGGGTATCGACCATGCTGGACCGGCTGCATCCTGACAGGGCTCCGGCCAAGTCATCCCAGCAAACAGGACTGCTGCCAGTGCCACGGGCATTCCTGCCTGAGGACCCTGTATTTGCACGCAACTATGACCGTGGCCCAAAATGGGTCCCCGCTGTGATTGGCCGAGCGACCGGGCCAATCCCCTACGAAGTGACCCTCCCAGATGGCAGGGTGTTGCGGCGGCACGTTGACCAGCTCCGGCGCCGGGCAATGGCCCCTTGCACAAGCGAGGGACCGGCACCAACAGAACAACAGCCAGAGGTCTACCCCACACAAGGGCCATCACCAAGGGAAGTTTATCCTCGGCAAGGGATACCTCCAGGGCAAGTGAGCAATGAGCCAGCCGAGAGTTCGTTGGAAGCGCAGCCAACGGCTGAACCCTCTGCAGGCGACACAACCATGTCCCAACCTGTGCCAACGACCGCACCACGGCCAGTGTCGCCGGAAGGACTAGAGGGGGATCCTGAACCAGCGACCATGCGCCGTTCGCAGCGAGCTCAGAAAGCCCCATCCCGCCTGCGAGACTTTGTGCTGGCACTGGCCGAGTGTTGAGCCTGAACTTAGGGGGAAGGGGTGTTATGTTCGTGTGTTTAGTACATCCGCATGGCGGTGCCAGCGGCGAGCAGTCTAGCAACCGGGGATGCATGCGCCATCACGTTCTGCGCTGCTGCGCGTGTGGGACATCAAGTCGGACACAGACCGTTGTTGGAGCTAGTCTGGCCCGCAATAAATGTTGACGCCACGGAGTGTTTGTTTCCGCGAACCCGACGTAACATATAAATAACAAATATATGTCGGCGGAGCTAGGAAAAACACGTCCGTTAGAACGAGCGCTTCGTCGTTGTTCCGTGTTAAAGAGCTGGAGAAAGAGGAAAACGTCTCGTTCCTCCCGTCTCGTGTTCGCTTGGGGAATGCGTCAATAGAGGGCAGGAAAACGCGCCGTTGCTACTTTTTTTATTCCTTTTTCGCTTAGAGCGTAGGCCGACGGGCACGCTGCGTTCCTTTATGTCTGCACTAAATACTACCGCGGCCAGACGTTGTGTTTGTCAAAACGCCCGAATGTGTATCCGCTCTTCCGACAGTAAGACCGCACTCCCCTTCTGCTCTTGCATGCCGAAGTCACGGTGTTTTCTGCGGAGAGGATGACGGAATTATTTGGGGACGCACCTCACGTTCCATGCATGTTTTTTTATCCATGTCTGAGACAGTTTTGTTGTAGGACCAATGTCATACAAGAAAGAAACACAAGCCAGACAGTTTTGTTTGTCAAAACAGCCGAATGTGTATCCGCTCTTCCGACAGTAAGACCGCACTCCCCTTCTGCTCATGCATCATGCAAAAGTCACGGTGTTTTCTGCGGAGATGACGGAATTATTTGCCGACGCACCTCACATTCCATGCATGTTTTTTTATCCATGACTGCCGACAGTTTTGTTGTATGACCAATGCGACCGTAAGAAATAAACACGAGCCTGACAGTTTCCGCACGCTGCCTTTTGCATGAGAGTAAAGCAGACCAAAGGTAACTTAGCTCGAATATTAGGGAGCTCAAACTGCGCTTTCCGAAAATTCAGAACATACGCCTACGTATGTTTATTTATTGTGCTAGTTAGGAACATATTGTAGATCTGTAGAATAAACGCGAACTGTTTTCGCAGTCGGGTGATCAAAACTGCAAAAGCCATATTTGAAAAATGCCCGTAGAGTGCATACAAATTGTAAACACTTATGCAAGCAGTACGGGGAAACAGCGACGGCTGAGGTGTGAAGTCGGAGCCGCAAAGGTGTCATTTCGGAGCCGCAAAGGTGTCATTTCGAGAATCAACGGTAAAGGTGCGAGCGCGCACCTTAGAGTCCGCATAGGTGTTTCGTGTTAAACCCAGCAACACACGTACCGGACGAAAATTCCATAGCGTTTGGGAACCAATAAAGGTGTAGAGAGCATTTCAGCTGTCTGCGTAAGAGGGGAGCGTGTTTTTGAGCGTCACTTCGGGACAAATAGCTACACGTGCTAAACGAAAGCGCCGAATAAACAGGCCCAAGAAAGTAGACAAGACGAAGTGCACTCTCAAATACAGTTTTATTGAAACAAACACGCACTAGTAATACCATCTTTCTGACTATCCATCTAGAAAATAAAACTCTGTATCTGTCCGGTGCATTGATGGAGCACTAACGCACTTGTTTTCTGATACAGAATGGATCGTAAAATTCTAAGGCAGTAAGGCGCATCTCCCGAGAATTGTTGCTTGTGCTAATTCTGGGTCCCCTGGGCACCCATCTCGCGGTGCACTGCCAGATTTCCCGGCGGGGACTGCTTTCCTAACCGTGCATATTATTTTACTGGCTTCTAATCTTGTTACCAGCAGCTCGTGCCATGTTTCGGCGGAGTGCCGGAAATGGCCCGCGTCCATATGGAGTGCGGTTCAACTTCAACCAATCAACCTCCAACCTGCGTTTACTGCGTTGTTGACGTCACTTCCTTCTCTCTAGCAGCCGTGGAGTGCAAAAAGCGCAACATAAAGCCCCAGCTGTACTTTAGGTTGGAAACAGATTTTGTACATGACTTCCATTGTGTTGTCACGGCGCGGATAATGACAAAAGATGTTTGCGATTCTAACGAAGAATCGGTGCACCCGATTGCCGCACACCGCCGTTCCTGCAACGAATATCCGCCCAGGTTTGAGGAGGCGCGCCTGCTCGGGCGCTATTGCCAAAGATTTGAGAGGGAAGTTATTGGACGCGTAATTGTTGAAGGGGCGGTGCAATGATTTTAACATTGAACGAATGTGCAGATTGTATTTTTTATATTGTTTACTTCGGCATAAGTAAGAGAAAAAGTGCCATCATACCCCGAAATACCTCTATTTCGCTGCGTAATTGCAAAATAAGAAACGCTTTTTTTCACAACCTGCGGCCACATGGTGGCCGCAAATGAAACCTGTGATGTGACGTCATTCGGAGTGGTTTTTGTAAGTGACAGTGTTAGGCAATTGTAAGCTTGATCTAAGGTTAAGTTTAAAAAATCTTGTTGTTTAGGCATGCAGAAACGCTTCAAAAATCTAATATTGCCGCTGAAAGATTTGTGGCTCCATCTACCTCAAGTCAGCCAAGCCTGCCGTCGCCGTCTTCCGTCGACTCCCGAGGCGCCTACGGCGGCTACACGAGCAACCCGGACGTTTTGTCTTTCCCTCGCTCGACGGAGTGCGTTGGTCGTGGTCCGTAGTATCGTGGTATCGTTATAGTTCCTGGTGTCTCGACCTCGACTTCGACTGCCCGCCGCGTCGACTGCCCGCCGCGTCGACTGCCCGCCGCACAAGTCCAACTGACCTACTATGCACAAGCATCTCGCGCTCGACGTGGCTCAGGCCGTCCGCCCATGCCGCCATGTTGGCCGGGAATCAACGGGAGAGCGGGAGAGCGGTGAGCCTGGCGAGCCGTCCGCCCATGCCGCCATGTTGGCCGGGAATCAACGGGAGAGCGGGGGAGCGGCGAGCCTGGCGAGCCGGCGAGCGCTGGGGAAACGGAAGCCAGAAGAACCCAACCGGAAACCAACGCCACTCGGAATGACGTCACAGGCGAAGCTGGTGCCGCTTCAATGTTGAGTTGAGGGGTGCCAGAGATACCAATTTCTTTTATTTTTTTTAATGAAAACTAGGGCAAGCAGGAGAGAATAGTTTTTGGTCCTTCGTTTTATATGTGGCCGGGATCAATTCCCGCAATTAATTGGCCAAAGTCCGCAAATTGTTGCACCGCCCCTTTAAGTCCATGTTTGTTTAGAAAGAAACCTCAAACACATCTTAGAAAAAAAAAAAAGAAGGGTTTTAGGTGAATTTTGAGGTATCTTTATCCCGTGAATCTGACTGTCAGGTTCGTTTTCCTCGAACATGATCCTAAACGCGGGAAAAGACGAAAATCCTCCCTGTCGTGACGTCATAAGGGGATCTTTCGGCCGCTTAACGCGTGTCGCTCGAGGGCTGCGCGTGCAATCGCAAGCTTGCCACGTAGTTATTCCCCCGCACTGGCATATAGCTTTGATAGGCCCTGATGATGCGCGGAGCGGAGATTCCGAAAACTTCTTTTGTGACGTCACGCCCCGGGAAGGAGGGGCTTCGTCGGTACTTCCAAAAGGATTTTCTGCAGCCTCCGTGCACCACATTAAAGAAACTAATATAGATATTCGTGATTCTAGAGGCCAAACGAAGACGATTTAAATGTTTTCCCTCAAATACAGAACCGCTTCCATTTTAAGGCTGGTTTATACATTTGCGTTTGAGTGCGTTGTGACCAACGCAAGCAGCGTTTCAGCCGCCTACGACCGCCAACCCTGCTGATGCGCTACCTGTCGTAAGTCGTCGCAAGAGGCTGAAAAACAGGCGTCGGAGTTGGTCGGAAGTGTGTAAATCAGCTTTTACACCTACTCCGACACCCTGAATTTCATACTCCGAGCGCAGCAACTACGCAGACCGTAGCGCGAACAAGACACACATAAACTATCGAGGCCACTTCCGACCGTGCGGTTCTGACGAACCCGGCATCTCGTGGATACGAACGGCAGAAACGGAAGTAACCTCCGGGATAAATTAAGGCCTGCGTGGGGCGGCAGTGTGTAAAGTAAAAAATGAAAGACGTTCACAACTCCCTGTAACGCCGAATCAGAGCGCAGCTTTTGAGGAGGAGGAGGAAAGAGTATACTGAGGGGAGGCTATGCTCGTTCTACTCACCTCCTCATGCTCCCTGCTACTCCTCCTACCCTACTCCTTCCTCTTCCTGGTCCTTCGTTCTGCCGCGGGTGCGCTGCTCTTAGAGAGTTGGAGGGAACCGTGTTTGCACATCCGATACGGTACGAACTGCGCATGCGCTACCGGCAGGAGACTCGCACATGCGCAGTGCGTACCGGAGGGCCCATCG